CATTTGGATTGAGGTGGATACTTAATGCTCTGGTGTTTAATATTAAACAACAAGCCCTAGTTTTATAAATAAATCACAGCTATTTTTCCCTTTTTCTTACAGTTGATTCACATTTTCCAGTGGGGCACATAGCATTAGTTTAAAATGCTTTAAAAATTGTTTCTGTAGATTGTACATTGTTTCTCACTTAAGAGCAGAATATTTAGAGGTAACAAATCTGAAAATAAGCCATTACTATTTATATACTTATGATAAAAATGATGGCAAGAATCATTTTCAGTATGTTTTATGTTTTATTTTAAATGGCATTTTAACAATTTCTTTCACTTTCTTTAAAATTCTGATATTAGGAAATAGGATCGAAGTAAATAAAAATGTATTTAAAATATTGATTTTGGTTTAAATATATTTTCTAGAAAAAAGGTAGATTTTTTTTTTTTTTTTTTTTTTTTGCGGTGCACGGGCCTCTCACTGCTGCGGCCTCTCCCGTTGCGGAGCACAGGCTCCAGACACGCAGGCCCAGCGGCCATGACCCACGGGCCCAGCCGCTCCGCGGCATGTGGGATCTTCCCATACTGGGTCACGAACCCGCGTCCCCTGCATCGGCAGGTGGACTCTCAACCACTGCACCACCAGGGAAGCCCGATCATGTTCATTTTTTATTCCTAATTCTTACCTTAGTTCCTGGTTCATAATAGATCCTGAAAATATTTGTGAATGGAGGATAACAGTTGAGTCAGTTTCTTTTTAGAAAAGTTTTGTAATTGTGCAGCGTTCTAGTGCATTTTATTGCAGTATTCTTTCCGTACTTGATGTCAGAGTCAGTCCTTAACTGCAAAAAAATGAGTTGGCTATAAAATGAGTATCCAGCAATCATCTCTCCATTATGCTAGCCAGAATACATTTTAGAACTAAAGTTGCCCCATTCAAGAAATGTATGTTTGCTGATGAGATTTAAAAGAAAGCCACGCTTTGTGTGACCCTGGCCCAGTGCTTCAATCATGACCATAATCTCTTCATTATAGGCCTATTTTTTCTCCGTATCACTTCTCTCTCTTGTGATTTATTTAAAGGTATATTTTTAGCTCCTTAACTTCTCTCTTTTATCAGCTTTTTATTTTGTATATTGATTAGGATGTTGGGTTTCTGGGAGGGAGATGAAGACGGAGGTAAGATCTGTATCTCAGCTCTATCAAATGTCAAGCAGTGTGCTGGACATTTGGATAAAGAGGTAGATAACAGTGCCGAGGACAGTATCTGGCATAGTCACCTCCCTCAAAGAGCAGTGGTAAAACATTTCCTTAAGAGGCCTTCTCAGGTCCCCCCTCTGTTATGCAGCTGTAACAGTTCTAATTCTACACAATTCTCTCCCTTCCATAGAATCCATTTGGGCAACACACCACTGTATTAGTCACACCAGCTGCTGTAACAAATAAGCCTCCCGATTTCAGTGGTTTAGCACCCTGTGTTTTTCACTCATATTGAGCAGTGCAGTGTGTTTCTGAGTAAGTGGGCTCTGCTACACGTGGTCATTTAAGGACCCAGCCTGAGGGAAGCTCAGTCATCTGTGAGGACACCTTGGATGTCAGTGTCCACATTGCAGAAGGTGAAGGAGTGTAAAGGATTACACGTGAGAGGTTTTTATGGGCCAGAGCCTGAAACCACAGGTAGCACCTCCCTCTCTTCCATTGTCTAGCACTCAGGCACATGGCTACCCCAGCTGCAGTAGAGAACTGGGATATATAAGTAGTTGATTCCCAGAAGAGTGCCTGCTGAGCCGGGCTGAAAGGTGGCGTTGAATTTCCCACTTGCTTCAGAGAGGGTGTCTTATATCTCTTTTTTTCTTCTGGTATAGATAGAATAAATTATTTTCCTTTAGTAATTGATTCTGTTTCAGAAATCACTTGGGAATTGAAATGGAAGAAAATGTTTTCATTTCTTTTTCTAATACAATGAACTTACTTAAAAAATACAAAAACCAAATATTTGGAGGTTTTCCGGTTAACCTGCTAGAAATGCTTTCTCTTAGGAGACACTGCTGTTCTCTTCCCCATCTGGCAGACTTTTGTGAAACACCTCCTCTGTGACATCCTGCTGAGCCTCTTCCTCCCATTCCTGCCTCTCCAGGCACAGTTAGCAGTTGCATCCTGAGTGCTCTGCTAGAACTTGAACGTACCTATGTTACTCGAAGCCATTCATCCACTCATTCATCTAAGCACTTATAATGCAATAACAATAATAATAATACGGTGAAAGAAAGAAAAGAGTTGAAATTCACTGTGACAGAATTACATACCAAATAGTGCCAAGGATACAGGGAAAAGGCACTTAGCTCTACCTTGGGGATGAGGAAGAGGTGGGGAATGCTTCTTTTAGAGGGAAGAAGTTTGGTTCAAGTCTCTTTAATTACTCGTGGATGCTTTCCCTTCCCCCAGTGATGAAGTTTATGAGAAAAGAAGCCTATCTTGATCATCTCTAAGTCCAGCACCCAGTACAGTACAGGCTTATATTAGACACTCACTAAAATGAATTGACTGAAGATGTAAGGCAATAAATTTATAAATTTCTGTTTACTCCACATCCATTCCTCATAACAACTTTATGATAGGGCAGATATTCTTATTCCTGGATTATAGATAATGAGCCTAAATACAAAGAGATTTGGTGTTTTGCAAATGTCACACAGTGGGTTAATAGATCTCAGGTGTTCTGCACCTAATCTTGTGCATTTTTTACTCTTGGAAACAAACATGTAAGTATCAAAATAGTGCTTTGAAATTTGTAGCGTGTGCTTTGAAGACAAGACATGAGACCACCTGAATCTCTTTGAGTGATGAAGACTGTTCATTTACATTGAGTCAAGAGATACAGTTCTTTCTAACAGACACAAAGAGATGGTTCTTTCCAACTTGTTTTATAGCACTTTATATTCCTGCGAGCACAGTGTTATGTACCCAGCTGGTGCTCTATAAATCTTTCTTAAATAACTGACGATGATTTCAAATATGTACATCAGATTCACCTAAAATGGACAAGCGTCCTGTTAGAAGCTGTCATAAGCTTTACCAGTATCATTGTGTCACAGGGGACAAAATTTGCCTGTGGTATATTCTAATTCAAGGAATTTTTTTTTTTTAATTCAAGGAATGTTTAACACACTAGCTTGGTTTCTGGTTTTCTTTGGCTTCCTCATTCTTCTGGCACTTACACTCTTGGTCTGCCCAAGGACACTATCTATGGAAGCTCAGACTGGCTGGTTGTTCTCACCACAGCAAGAACATGTTGAGACATTTTAAAATGGAATAGCTTTAGTGTGTTTTGATGTTTTAAAAATCCCAAACTTCCTTAGTATTGGAGTTTATGATAGACATTTATTGCTTCCATCTCTAACTTATCCATATTTTGTACCATAAAGTATCAGCGTTCTCTTCAGAAATGTTATGACCTGGTGCTTTACTTATTAAAATTGCAGCTAAGGATGACGGTGTGGCTTATAGAAGCATAAAATTACACATTTCCACATGGATATTCTGCTTCATGGCAACCTTACATGTCTGAAGACAGACTCATTTTGTCCCTTCCACTCCTTTCTTGCACCACCTCCCAACCATTGCCAGCTGCTTCCCGATGTCATTTAGTGGCAAGCTCCAAACCATGAAGATGTCCTGACTACTTACTCCTTTGTTTTATACTGCCCATCTAATTCATGTTCGTGCAGTGTTGCACTGACCTCTAAAATGTTTCTGAAATCAGGGGATTTGAGACCGTGTCTTAAAGCCAGGTGTGAGTGTATTGCCTGATTTCCTTAAAGGTATGAAATTATGGGAAAGGAGCTGAAAGCCCTGGAAGAGTTTCCTGTCAAATCAGCAAGAGGAAAAAAATAAATTAAATTTTCAGGAGGTTTCAATGTTAGAAACATTTCTTTTCAATCTACTTGAGTAAGAATTTATTTCATCATCTCTGGGGACACTTGCTTTTTCCAAAACTCTGTAACCAGGAGACAGACTAGACAGTGGGAATTATTCAGAGTGTGTGGCACAGAGAAGGTGGTTGGTAAATGTTTAATGAATGAGGAGATAGATAGATGAACAAAAATAGAATGGTCTTGGTGAAAGGATCCTGAAGTCTGCTTCTGTTTTTGCTTAACAGAAATATATTTTCTTGTTTTGTTTTGATGTATTTTTCTAAGAGCAAGATAAGTGCCAGGTTTTAGAAAGACAGACCCACCTTTCATATTAATCATTACTAGGGAAACACCACTAATGCCTTAGTTTATTACCTAATGGTATTTTAATCTGCAGGAAATCCAAGAAAGTGCTTTAGAAAGTGTCTGTGATTGAAGACTCAGTGGTGCCAAGTATATGTTTAAAAAGAAAGAAATGAATGTCAGGGGCATGTGGATTTCAGTCTCATATTATTGTAATAAGAGTAATGTGCCCAGAATTTTGGAAAGGTTCTTGAGTTTTTTCTTATCCAATGATTGACACATTGCTAATATAGCATTGACAAAGTAATGTTAGCCATACTCAGTGAGTGTAACATCATAATATTTATCCTGAACTTATTCTTCAGCCATAGAATAATAGAACAACAGGATATTAAGGTCATAAAGCTCAAGTACTAAGCAATGAAGGTCAATGAGTTTTTTTCACTAATTATTCCAGCGGCTTCTTCTTGCAAGTTAATTTTGTTCTGCCACATACTAAAAAGGTGAAAGAGAATTACTTCTTTTTATTTTTTTAATATTTATTTATTTTTTGGCTGTGTTGGGTGTTAGTTGAGGCACGCGGGATCTTTCGTTGCGTTACGTGGGCTCTTCGTTGTGCACGGGCATCTCTCTAGTTGTGGCACACAGGCTTAGTTGCCCCGCAGCACATGGGATCTTCATTCCCCCAACCAGGAATCGAACCAGTGTCCCCTGCATTGCAAGGCTTATTCTTAACCACTGGACCACCAGGGAAGTCCTAAGAAGTACTTCTTATTTTCTGTTTGTTTTGCAGGGGAAGATGGTGAAAGGAATGGGAGGGGCTATGGATCTAGTGTCCAGTGCCAAAACCAAAGTGGTGGTCACCATGGAGCACTCTGCAAAGGTAATGAGAGCTGCTTTTGGAAATTCACACTACACTGAAACCCTGTACACCAGGTCATATGACCATTGTTTTTATTGTTTTCTCTGGATCACTCAGCTTGATAACGTTTATATTTTAGAGAAAAACGTTACAAATAAAGACCATTATTTATTATCATTCAGCTAAATGTTTGTTTTAACTTTGAAGCAAACATCAGGGTGTTCTTTGATTATTTGCCTCACACACACATTAAGTAAAAGCTATAATGTCTTCAAAAGCAGTGAAAAGATGTTAGGGCAGATGTGTTGATTCAGGTTTATAGATATTTTTATTTTATTTTTATTTTTTTGGCCAAACCCAGTGGCATGTGGGATCTTAGTTCCCCGACCAAGGATCGAACCCGTGTCCCCTGCAGTGGAAGCACGGAGTCATCACCGCTGAACCACATGGGAATTCTCTGATTCAGGTTTAAAGATGATTATAGTGGTTGCTACCTCTGTGCAAAATGAAAAACACAGCAGAATGTGCGTTTTTAACAGCAGTTATTTTCAAGTGGACAATATGGCCTCTTACCAAGTCTGTGGAGGTGCCGTTTTGAGACAGTGTTAGAAAATGATGGACTTGGTGATAGCAAGTGTTCTATTCTGAAGAATATTATACTTTTATTTTGATAAATCGTTGAGTGTTTATTGAATATCTATTATGTGCTGGGCACTGCTGGAATTTAGCAATGACCAAAACTAGACAAGAATCATTGACCGCATGGCACTTACATTTAATGATGATATCATCAGCCTATAATAGTGATGGCTCCCATTCATTGAGTTTACTGTGCACGAAGAGTACACTAAGCTCTCTGTGTATGTTTGCCTGTAAAAGCCCATGAACTTGATATAAGTGTTTTTGTGGGTCCAGAAACAGAGCTTCAGAGAGGTTGAGTAACTTGCCTGAGGTCACACAACTAGTGGAACTGAGATTTGGCCTGGATACCTCTGACTCCAAAGCCTAGTCTTCTAAATACCGAGTTATCAGTATGACTTTCTTCCTATTCCAAGTCATTGTCTTTGAAACAACTGAGCTTAATTGCCTTCCCCACCTGAATCCCTGGGCTTCTGATGATTTGCAAAGTTGATATTGGGTGTCAGGTACCCTCTTCACCCTCTATACCTTTGCTCATTCTCCTTTGTAGTTCTTAGTTTTAAAACAAAAGCTACCTGTTCTCACCTTGATACCTGCTATTTTGAGTGGAAGTGGTAGTTGTTTGCCCTTTTTTATTTTGTGATGCAGCATTGTGGGAGAGTGTGGATCTGGAAGATTTGCATCCGACTTGCTTCCCATAGGGAGTTCTGTTACAGAGTGATGGGTGCCATGAAACAGTTTCATTGTGAAAACTGTAATAAATATGAAATTATCATAAATTGCTTAGTAAACAGTGAAGTGAGCAGTGAAGCATAAATATGGGACAATAGAAATGAAACCAACACAGGTGACTACTGAGCGATGCCTGGCAAAAGCATCCAAAATACTTCATTTCAGAGGCAAAAGGATGCCGCGCATGCAAATCAAATCCAAAGGTTTTCTGGAACATAATGTCCATTTGGAGAAAACTCTTTTCGACTTTCCTTTTGTTGTTACTTTAATGTTGACACATAGGCACTGAAGTCCGACTCATTTCAGATTATTTTTGTGCATTTGTTTTCAAAACATTGGGCCTGTATTTCTCTCTCTTTTTTTCCCCCAAAGTGTTTTCTTTCTCCTCAGCTGGAATTTCTGACAGAGGAAAAATTGTGCTTCAAACTTCCAATTAGAAGTCCCTTATTAAAGCTTTTCATAGAAGCAAGAGAATGTTTTTTAGCGTTTCTTCTTTTTCTTCTCTCAGTGGGGAAATTGGCACTAAGTTTTAGACCAGAACTGAAGTTAGATATTTTTCCCTACATACTTTCATTTGGACAAACTAACAAAAAATATATTTGTGATTAAAATAATAATAGTGATTTGTTTATACTTAATAGATAACCTTGAAAACTAACCAACAGAAGTTTCTTTTCTTGCCATCTTCACTTTGTACTCTTGGTCCCAGAATGTGGTTGCTACTGTACATTGTTCACCTGGACTTACTGTTATTGGCCCAACTCAAGGGAACACGGGGACCTCACCACTTCTTTCCTGCATCTTTCGTCTGCCTGAAGGTTGGTAGAGGTTGGAAAGGAAATAGAGAGGCAAGGTCTTTCACTCCTGGTGGCCTCTCCAGTTAATGACCTGTTCTTTTAGATATGCCAGGTAACTTCTGCTGCCTTATGAGTAAGTGAACAGCCTAGGGGGAGAATCCCCAGAGTTTTCTAAGACACAGAATAGAAAGTTTGCGGTGAAAGATTAAAACCTGAGAAAAGAAATATAATCTTGTATTCTTGTGCTACTGATTTTTTTTTTTCCCCAGTAAGTGGGTGGAGCCATCAACTGGCCTTCAGGTACAGCTTTTCTTTTTGCTCCTTTTCTTCTCTATAGGGTTACAGATGCAGGTCACTTATAAATATAGTATTACCTGACCTTTAAAAATGTTGCTTTAATCAGACAAAGGAAACTCTTTCCTTGCAAGTCTTTGCAAGCAGCCAGCAGCTTCTGGTATTTGAAACCTGGCTGCCTGCTTGTGTTGCTCTAGAGTAACCGGCATAACATTTCCTTTGCCTTAAAACTGCCTCTGGAGACATGTGGCAGGCACTGGCGCCAGACTGGCCTTGGAGTGTGGCTTTCATTTAAGCTTAGACATCAGGGTTCCAGGCAAAATTGCAAAGTAGGCAGAGTTTTTGGTGTCTAGCCACCTTCTTACTTAAGCTTCTTTTGATCTCTTGGCGTGTCCTTTTTTTGCCCTCTAAAAATTGGGAGAAATGAAGGAAAGGAGTAGGAGTTTGAGTCTTTACTGGGTGCGAGGCCCTGTGGGTGGCATTGTACATACTGGATCTATAAACCTCTCAGCGACTCTCCGATGTAAGGCTGGAATGTAGGCAGGTAAGAAACTTGTCCAGGTAAGTGGCAGAGCTAGGAGTTGCCCTCAGTTTGGTCTAGTCATGTTCATCATATCATACCATGCTGCATCCTCACCTATGTTCCCATCCACACCTGCCCTTTTCTGAAAACTTTAGGTTTCAGAATTACCTCTTTCCCTTTTTCATTTTCCCTGGTCAAAGCTGTCCTTGTTGAGATAGATATCAGCAAAATATTTAAAAGAAAACAGTCTCAGAATTGTGCCCCCTACTACCCATCTCCTCTTCTTCCCTTTTGTATTAGAATCTTCCCATGTTTCAGTTGGGCACAGAGTAGCCCAGTGACGGACTACATTTCCCAGATTCCCTTGCGTGTAGATTCATCTATGTGACCAAGTTTAAGTCAATGGGATTTGAGCATTTGTGCAATTTCTGGGTCATGTCCTTAAAGAGAAAGCCGATTTCATTGGACTATTTTTTGTCCTCCTCTAGCCTTCTGAGAAAGGCCTTAACTGCAACATCAGCCTTGGAACCAAAGTTGTAAACCACGTGCTGAGGCCTGCAGAGCTGCCCCACCAACCTAGATCACTAGCTGCCCCATCTTTTCTTTATCAGTTCCTTCCAGGACTCCTCATAACTTCATCCTTGGCCCTCTGTACTTCTCACCCTCTGCACCTTTCTTGGGTGCTTTCTAAATCTTTGGCACCAGCTATTATTTTTCACTCAGTGGCTCCCTAATCCTTATTTCCTCACTGGAATTCTCTAATGAGCTCTATAACTATATTTTTTCCCTATTAGACACCTCCACCTGGTTGTTCCATAGCTACCTCAACCACAACACTTATACAAGTGAAATCATCATCGTTTCCCCTAAAAATCTTCCATCTGCTAGCTCAACTGGAGAAGTGATGATCTCCCAGCCCCCCTCTGGAAAGGTACTCATGGAATTTCTGCCCCTCCCACTATACCAGCCACTGTACATATTGCATCTACAATACCCCTGTAATCTGCTCCATCCTGTGGATTTCTACTTGTTTAGGTCCCTGTCACATCTACATGGGTCACTGTTGCAGCATCCCAAAGGTCCTCTTCCTGCCAGACTGACCCTCTTTCCTGGTAATCAAGCACACCACTGCCAAAGTGACTGGTCTCAAACTAAAGCTGGATCGAGTTAGGTCCACATTATTTAGTTCACCTTAGCCTGCCAGCCTTTTGTCATCAGCTCCCCAGCAACCTACTTTATCCTTGTTTCCAGGGCTTCAGTTCTGCTAGGATCTCCACATTCATGTTGTTTCCTGTTCTCAGGTGTTTCCACATTCTGTTCCCCTTCCCCCTTTATCTGACTCACTCCTACCTCTACACCATCATATATAAATGAGCCAACACTTCGTGAATTTGCTGGCTTAACGTCTTCCATCCTCTAGACATGATGAATGACTAAATGTATATTCTTTGAGGCTTTGTCTTGAAATTTGGCAGAATTATCTTATGTGAGTATGTTAATTTACTTGTTTATGCAGGCATCAAATATTTATTGAGGGCCTACTATGTGTCAGACACTATGATAGGGTCTGAGGAAATGAAAAATAGAAAGGCATAGTCCTTCCTTTACGCAGGTCAGAGTCTCATGGGGATAGAGTCATAGAAACCAATACTTAAATAGAAAGAGTGTACAAAACAGAGTGCTTCCCATGAGATGTAGCATTTGCATGGAGATCTGAAGGATGGGGCAGGGTTTGAAGGGACTAGTGTGTTTCAGGTCAAGGGAATAGGCACTGGGGTGTGAAAGGGCAGTGCATGCTGAGGGATTTACAATTAGGTCCCTGTTGTCAGAGAGCAGAGGGAGAAGAGTTGGGTGGAAATACACACACACACACACACACACACACACACACACACACAGAGTCTATCCTCCACACAGTGGTAGGAATGATGTTCTAAAAATACAAATCATGTTATAGCACTTCTTCCTGGGCTCAGAAACCCTCCACAGCTTCCCATATCCCTTAGATTCAAGTTCAGAGTTCCTTATACTTTGTC